TATGTTCGGCAACACTAAAATATCACGAGGAAAGGGCCAGCAGACGACACTCTGAATTTTCATTGATATCATCCCACAAAATACACTAAATAACCATAAAAAAATAACAAAATTGATTACTTTGCACCCATTGGACCGCACATAAACCTTAGTCACGCACGTGGTTGACATAACCATTTTCCAATTAAAGAATCTTCTCTACATCAAATCAAAGTGAGAACAAGGTAGGAAGTGACATAAAACAGTCCATGATCTTGACTTCACATGTTCCGGTCTACACACAATTTCTTATAAATCTCCATAGCATTTCCCGTATCAGTAGCAAAGCAAAAGAAGAAGTTTCCCGTCTAATGGAAGAGGGAGACAATAGAAAAACTGCTCCGGCGGCCATGGAGGCCGATGAGGAGGAGAAGATGGAGAAGTTCTACGCCTTGGTTAGTAATCTAAAAGCACTGAGAGGTGGTGTATGTAAGAGTGAATTAGCTCCAAGGAAGAGGATGAGAAGTGAGAGCTTGCTCTGGAAGCCAACTTTCCGATGGGAGGACTTCGCCGGAGGGAGCGATGGTTTGTGCTCCACGGCGAGATATGAAGAATGTGGCCGGAAGAAGAGGAGGAAGGAAGTGGAGGGAGGAGGAGAGGTGGAAAGCGTTTTTGATCTGAAGCTTGGTTTGTGATTTTAGTGTGTTTATAAATGATGAATGAGTGATGCTTCGTTGGTAAATTAGTATCCAATTTTGCAATTTGCAGGAAAATGGATTTGTTATCATAATTATTTGTGGTTTGCAGGTGAAAGATGTCTTAGAAAACTAATATTTTTTAGGAAACTTTACATATAAACCTTTCAATTCCTATTTGCTTACATACATAACACCTAAGCTTCAATTTTTTCATACATAAGAGCTTATCTATGAAAATGTGTATTTTAGTTTTTTTTTTAAATGAAAATTATGATATTTTTAATATTATATGAAAGATTTAGGTGGTTGAATGTAAAAAATAAATTTTAAGTGATATGTGAATGCATAGGAATTCGTTGGTATGTATATAAATGCCCCTTTTCTTGTTTCTACTTTTCATTTTTTCAATTAATTCCTTTGCATTTACATATCTAACACTTGAACATCAATTTTTACATGCATGACACATTACCTATGCATGAAAAAAATGTAGATCTCCTTTAAA